GAGAGAGAGAGAGAGAGAGAGAGAGAGAGAATATGAATGAAAATCATTGATTCATTGATCTAGAGACAGGGGAGATTGGACAATTATGGGCCAGGAACTAAGAATAGATTTCCATTTTTAAACGATTGGAAAAGAAATATGAAACATGAAAATGACACAAAATTCACATTCCACAAATAGAAACGTATTGAAACACAGCCACACCATTTATTTGTGGCTCATCTCTGGCAGCTCTGCTGAGCCAAGTATCTGGGCTGCTATCTACACGTCGAGACAGTCAGTACATGACCCTTTCACGGGACATATTTGAAACTTCTAAAAGAGGAAATAGATGTCCCTGTTATTTTAGGAGATTGATTTTGCAGTTTCTCTATTTCTATTACAGAGAAAATTTAGAAGAGAGCATGTATGCCTGTCGTTTGGAGAGAGAGAGAGAGAGAGAGAGAGAGAGAGAGAGAGAGAGAGAGACTTTGTGTGTGCATTCAGTAATTGACTCATTGTAGACCTGCTTTTTTGTTCCTGCTTCTGCCCCAACTTCTGTCTTCTTATTTTGGGAGACAAATGCCCGGTTCTCTCTTTCCCTCTTCAAAGACTATTTCTAGGATGATGGTAGTTCATATCAAAGTGAGCACATAAAGCATAGAGAGTTCTCCCCTGACCTCACAGACCTCTTTGAAAGCTCTTTAACTAGGGGTGGGGCCTCATGGGCCATGCCCCCACCTATGCTGGAAGTTTGACTGGTTTGTGCAGGTTACCATAGTCAGTGTGAGTTCTTGAGTGTCACACTTATGTCATGTTCCTAGAACAGCATTTGTCAACACTACTCCTTCCGCTCTCACATTTTCCCACCTCTCTCTTCCATGATGTTACCTAATCTTGTGTAGAAGGAGGGGCTTTCTATAGATATCCCTTTTAGGGTTGAATGTATTCTTCACATTTTGACTATCTTTGAGTCTCTTCTGTATTAACCACCACCCTCTGCAAAACAGAAGCTTTGGTGTTCAAGATTGAAAGTAGCACCGATTTATGGATATAAACATAAATGCTTAGAAGGCAGCTTGACCATTTGGCAAAATAATAGAAAGTTCTTTCCTAGGGTCTAAGAACTCCTCAACAAGGCCATGGGCATTGACTAGCTTAACAGTACCAGGCATAAATTCTGTCCTCTGGAGAAGGTCTGACATCTGACTGCAAAGTTATGGGTTTCCTCCGTAATAGTCATGCCACTACTGAATCAGTGGGCATATTTTGCCTAGAATTGGCATTGTAGCACACACAGAGTCTAGTGCTGGAGAGGACCACTGATGTCTTTTCTCTCCCAGTGGCCTGTGTAGCACTTTTCAGCACTAGCCAGCAGGCAGCAAATTTCCTGTCAGTTGATTTCTCTATGTCCTGTAGCAGCACAAAGTGCATTGCTATTAGCAATAGGGTCTTACTATCTAGTTCTGATGGGCAAGCAGAGCAATGGCCATAGCCTGTATTATTGTAGGTGCCTGTGAGGACTCCTTATAGAGAGGCATACCAAATTCTATGGTGAAAATTGTCGCTTCCAAAAATCGTCTTGGGAGAGTGCTGAGATAGAGGTGGGATACCAACTTCCCAGCAATACAAAGACAGAAGGTGTTCTAGTGAACTCCATCCTGTGGAAAGTGAGGGCAGCTACCTGTAGAGTGGGGATTTTGCTGTCCGGTATTGTATGATTGGAACCAGAATGCAATTTGTGTGATTTAAAATGCTAGGGCATACATGTAAGTAGCCTTTGTTTTTTCCTGTTTTCCCAGACAATGGTAAGCTTTGTCGGGTATAAATTGCACCTCAAGAAAATGAGGAATGTTTGCTTTAAAAGGTAGTAGCTTATTCACACTAGCCCGTGTATCTTAGGCACATTTAAGAGGGATACCTTTATTAGCATGATCTAGTGGAAGTATCACCATCACTGAGAGACTGAGTTACCATTCTTATCCTTATCTTGACTGTGACCACAGGCTTTGATTGTTGTCTGTTGTAAAACATCACTTAACTTATCTGGTGATGTCACTGAACACCATCTGTGAATGTCTGTGAGTGTTTAAACAACCAGATCTACCTGAAGGGTGGTGGTGCCTAGTGGTCATTTCATTCCTGAAGTCTTGTCGTTGTCAAACACTTAGTAAGTCCAAGAATGAGAGTGAGCTGTTTGGAACTGGCCAGGGCTGATCTTTATAATTAGACTCATGTCTCACCTCAGGTCAAACGGCTCGACAGAAAGTCTGCTGTGGTGTGGCACAGCAGAGAGTGGACAAGACACATGGTGCTTCTGGAGGTGAGTCAGTGAAAAATCGTCTTTCATTGGTTCTTCTTTTCCTGTCTCATAGGTCCAGCCAAAACCAGGACTTGGCATCAAAAATGGTGAACATCCCTTCCTGAACGGCTGCTTGAGAGGTGACGCTCATCCACAGGACTCCAGGATAAATTCCATCTCCACACAGAGAACCTTGGAGCCAAGGAACCGGAGGAGGAGCAGGAGCTGGAGGTTCAAAGTACATTCACTGGAGCTTCCACAGCCCAGTGGGTCATGGGAAAACTCTAGTGAGCCGTTGTGGAGAAGGCCTGGCTGGTCCACCCTGGCGGATGGCTCTGTCTCAGGCATTCAGCAACGCCGAATGTCTAACCCCATTGAACCCAAAATAGGAATGAATGCTTTAAGGGAAAATGACTTTGAGAAACTCGAGGCAGAGACAAATGTTGACACGGGCTTCACCATTCTTAATTCTGAACCCAGGCAATCTTTTCTGAGCAGATTTCCCAGGGATTTTCAGAGCAGCCAACCAGCAGGCTGCTTGTCAGGCTCTTCCTTAGAGGTAACTGCTTCCCCAAACCAAGGAGTCTTTAAGGATAGACTCCGCCCTTTGTCACTTCCTGGTCAAAGGGACTTTGGTGCGAAGAAGGTCATCTCAAAATGTCCGCATCATCTGCCAGAGCAGGGTGAAGAGAAAGAAGAATTCTTTATATAACATAAAACAAATATGTTTTTTTTCTAAGACACAAGATAAGAGAATGTTACAGAAACCAGGCGTTGTATTAGTTACCTTTTTCATTGAAATAAGAAATATCCTAGAAGCAAATGAAGGTTTGAGAGTCAGGTCCATTCATGGCTGGGAAGTCACGGAACCGAGAGTGTGAAGCATCTGATTGTTACCTCTACAGTCAGGTCGCAGAGAGGGATGGGTGCTGGAAATCTGTGTGCCTTTTTAAAAACTCAGTCTGGGACTCCAGCTCACGGAAAGGTGTTACCCATTTTTAGGGTGGGTCTTCCTTCCTCAGCTAGGTCTTTCTGGAAACACCCTTCTAGATACACCCAGAGGTAGGTTTCCACGGTGCATCTGAATCCAGTTAAGTTGATTATGAAAATCGATCTACAAACTTTTAGTTTCTTGCTCATTTGAGAGAGATCTAAGCTCCCAATGCACAGGCTTATATTGCTTTTACTTCCAGGATTAGAAGTCCATGGGGAGCTGACAGTGTCCTGGCCGGCTGGAAGAGAGAGGAGGAAAGCCCAGGGTCTGAACTTCTCATTGGCACAGCCCAGCTACATGTGTTGGCTCAGCACCTAGCAGGGCATTGGCACTGTGTGGAAATGAATCAGATGTGCTATGCAAATCTGATTAGTATGTGTAATATGGTTTTAATTTTTGCATAGCTTATCCCCCTGGACAGTATGAACTATTTATTCTTTAGAGCTGTTTAATTTTTATGTGACCTCCTTTGGTAAGTAGGCCCTGTTTACTATATACCCTTTTGTGGGTTTGCCTTTAAAGTTCTTTGCATCTGAAACAGTGAAGAATGCAAAGTGTTTTAAAATTAGAAATACTATCCCCTTCCCTGTTTAATTAGTAACAATACCCAAAGCCAGAAAGCTAGGTTCAAAATGAGTGGTAGACTCAGAGATGTTCCCACTCTCTGTCTCTCATTTGTTCGTGTTCTACTTGGAAGAAGTTAGCAGTTCTTGTTAAAAAATGAAAACAAGCCGGGCGGTGGTGGCGCACGCCTTTAATCCCAGCACTTGGGAGGCAGAGGCAGGCGGATTTCTGAGTTCGAGGCCAGCCTGGTCTACAGAGTGAGTTCCAGGACAGCCAGGGCTATACAGAGAAACCCTGTCTTGAAAAACCAAAAAAAAAAAAAAAAAAAAATGAAAACAAACAAACAAACAAACAAACACCCAAGGAAGAAAGGGATGATTAAATCTCCACTGAACAGGCCTACAGGTTGTGTTGACAGAGAAGCTAGAATAGGACTTGTGTTCTAGCTGTATTTGGGGGGCTCTGGGGCTTATATGGTCACCTACTAAATATTTTTTGCATGCAGCAAATATTCATGGATATGATACTTAAACATTTGGTCATCAAATTCAAAAAATATTCACGGTTTGCAACTGCAATGCTTCACTGAACCGACTCCTGAAAGATGTTGAAGTTCAAACTGATTCCCCAATCCAGGCCCACACTGGTTCAAACTGATTCCCCAATCCAGGCCCACACTGGTTCAAACTGATTCCCCAATCCAGGCCCACACTGGCCATGTAATGATGCACTAAACTGAGTCACTTTTCTCATTGTTTTGATGAAATACCCCAACAAAAGTAAGTTAAGGTAAGGAGGGATTATTTTGACTGGCAGTTCCAGGTTAGAGTCTGTCATGATGGGAAGCTCCTGACTGCAGGGTCTTGAGGTCTCTGGGCACTTTGCATCTGAGGTCAGGAAGCAGAGAGTGCAGGTGGGCTGCTCAACTGTCTTTTTCTTTGCCAGTCGGGAGAAGTACCTGCCCACTTTTATACCCACCCACCCATCTCAACTAACCTACAAGAGAATCCTTCACAGGCATGCTCCAGGCTTGTTTCCTAGGAATTCTAACCTTATCAAGCTGACAACATTAACTGTCGCATAAGAATACATGTATACTAACACCAAGTCTTGGGTCTCTATGGATAAACACTGAAACAGATGGCTATAAGCTATTGTAAACAGGCAGTTTTTGTGACAATTTACCAGCCTGAGTAGTCATAGACCTTGTAAATAGGTAGCCTTGGCAGATAATACCAACTTAGATAAGGACAAGCGAATCCTAGGCAGAGTCATAGTGACCTGTCCCCTAAACCTTCACCCAGTCAATACCCTGTTCTGAAAAATATTTGTATTCCCCCTGAACACCCACGCTCCAGTGTCATCCCCTTCCCCACATCCTGCCTTTTGTGTTTATACCCCTGTGTCAATAAGTATAAATTACAATTTGAAAAAAAAATAAATTATATATATTTAAAAAAAAAGAATTTGTAACCTGTCAGTGGGGACTGTGAATATTATGAATTGAAAATTTCAGTCTTGAAATCATAACGACAAGTGACAAATTGTCTGTTGCCCAAATGCTAGAGTTTGGGGATTTAAAAGATAAAAAATAAATGGAGGCTGGAGAGATGGCCCAGTGGTTAACAGGGCTTGTTGCTCTTCCAGGGTTCCCAGCACCCACACTTGGGCAGCTTACAACTGCCTGCAACTCTGGCTCAGCGGGATCTGATTAGCTCTTCTTGTTTCCACGCATACACACACGCACACGCGCACGCGCACATGCACACACATGCACACACGTGCGCACACACGCAAGCACACATGCACACACATGGTGCACATTCACACAGACTCATACACATAAAATAAAATTAAAAAAAAATTGACTCCGTGACCATTCTCTCCCATGGGTTTGTGTAAGAATATGCGTGCTTGTTTAGCTGCAGGGTTTTCTTTTCTTCCCTCTCCTCTTTCTTCTCTCCCTTTCCCTTTCTTCCTTCCTGTTAGGGACAGAACCAAGGGTTTCCAGGATGTTTATGAGGCTAGTAATTTTCCAGGTGCTTTACTCCCAGCCCTCAGCTAGGCCTGAAAAAACTTGAACACTTAGACACAACTGGGGACAAAGCTTAGCTGAGGCTCAGATGGACCTGTGGAAACGTGCCGTCTGGGGCTGTGTGCTCTGCCAAGAACACTCGGAGAAACGAGAACTACAGATGGATGATGACAGGAATTCTAAATTGATTTTTTTCCTGTCCATTAAACATCAACATATTCTCATTGTATTTTCTTCTCTACCTTGCAGATTAAACTTTGATCTTAGAAAATTGAATGAGGGGGCCCAATGTTCATATGCCTTTTTATGACAGAGGTTTTGTTTTTTGTTTTGTTTGTTTTTGTTTTGTTTTGTTTAAAAAAAACAACAACTTATTTCAGTTGAACAATTGAGTTGCCTATAAAAGTGCAGCAGGGAGAAGTTTTAAATTTTTCCTTGCACTTTTTTGATGTTATCTCAGTGTCTTTAACATAAAACACGGGTGAGGATGAGTCCACGGAAATCATAAAGAATATTGAGAAGTTCAGATATGTGGGGCCTGACAAAATTGACTTGTAAAATAATGGACTCTTAAAATGTCACCCACTCTCTCCTATTCGATGTAAAAATCCAATTTACCTTACCGGATGGAAATGTCAGTGAAGTGAGTCGGGTTTTAAAATCCCCTCTGTGAGTAACCTTGAACACGGTAGCTCTGTGATCCTCTGGTGTCAGACCTACTGTAGCAGAGGTTGCTAGAGAGAACCTAGGTAATGCATGTGAAAACATTTTGATGTTATTAAGTGGTGCAAGCACAGAAGATTTTTATTATTGCATCATATTTTATAGCTTTCTATATGTTGAAGTACTGATGTAATTGGTCCTTCAGGCCTACAGTTTAAAAATGTTATGAGATAAGTTTTAGTAAACTCAATGAAATAATTAAAAAAGACAAATTTACCTAAGATTTAAAAAAAAACCCTTAAAAACAATTGCTTTACCTAACAGGAAGATGGTGTATAGTAAATAACAAAATATATCATAAAGTTCAATAGATTATATATAACAGAATATATCATAATCTGAGGGTGATGGTGTTTTCCTATAATCCTGGTACTTTGGCAAGGAACGGAGCTATGGCTCACAGTGAGTTTTCTGTTGATTGGAAGCCTGTGGATTTCATTACTATGTTGCAGACCATCTTTAGATGGTCCAGAAAAACCTCACCGCTGTCTGCCTTTCTAGAACCTTCTCAAAGCCCCTGTGTGGGCTCCCCCTCCTTCTTTCTTCTTCTTTCTAGCCATTACTCTCCTCCTTCTATTCATCCCTCCCTTCCTTCTGTGTCCCTTCTTCTCCCATGTGAATTGGATACTATGCGTTTTTCATTTATTTTCCACTCCAGAGTTTGCATGTTTGGTTTTGGAGACCCACAGAACTGGAGTCTGAAGGGGGGATGGAGGTCTGATTCATTGTGTAGCTCAAGTTGGCCTTAAACACAGTGTAGAAAGGGATAGAACTGTCTGGCGGGTCTTCTTTAAGGTCAATAATTGTAGCATCAGGGCCTTCCCCAAGACCTGATAACCTCCAAAGGCTTTTCCAGATTCCATCACAGTGCTTCTCATCCAAGGGGCTTTTTTGAATCCCTGCGTGGAGTGAACCTAGCATCTGTATATGTCATGGTTCTGCTTATGTCTCTCTCTGTTTCTCTTGCCTCTCTCTGTCTCTCCCTCACCCTCTCTGTTTCTGTTTCTGTTTCTCTCTCCCTCTCTCTCTGCTATTGTGGCACTGTAGAATTTTCTCTTGCTTTATGCAATGATTCAATTAACAAATAAAATTAAGCATGACAACTGCAGAAGGATTTTTATGAATTAAAAAAAAATTTTAATTTTATTCTGTTCTGAGTTTGTCACCAGAAGGTACTATGGTGACATGGTCTTAAGTTTTTGTGGTACTGGAATCTGGTAGGAATGCAAGTAAATTTCCCCACTCCCACCATGGTTTCAAGAGGAGACATGCTAGATATTATACTAGATATTTTAAGGTTGGTTTAGGTTTAGGAGATGGTGGGAGGAAGAGAACACCTGGAAGATGGAACTGCAGAGTGAGTCTCCTTGGATGACACATCCTAGTACTTTCTCCTCAAATGCACCGCCCCTTTTAATACATCCCATCACCATTAAGGGTGAGAATATGCCTGACTTTCATGTGAGCTTCCAGAGGCTGGATTCCATACTATTAGACAATCAGTTCTGCTGTACAATTAAGAGCAATAAAGCTTATGGACCAAATATTTTGCTAGACGCTACCCTAGGAATTAATAATGAAGGCAAACATAACAGTGTAGTTTGGTTTTGTCTTAATAAGTAACTGGGGCTTCTCTTCCTTATATTGAAGTACGGCAAGCATTGGTTCACATGTGGCCAGAACCTTTTTTTTTTTTTTTAATGTCTAGCTCTCCTTTTCAAACGAGTCCACTCCCCCAGTTTTTATTTTCTCACTTTGGCCATGAACAGTTGAGTCATTCCCTTGTTGTAAAGGTAGGAGATTGAAACCTGTTTCTAGTTGCCCTTGGTTGATGTTAAAATAACCCGGATACTTATCCACTGTCACCTAAGCAGTAGCCTTACCAGCACACTGGGAAGACATGTGTTTTCAGTACAGTGTTTTCTATACTTGGCAGTCACAAAGACAATCAGGAGACAGCACCAATAATCCACTCTGAAGATCCTTGTTGGTCCATACCACAGGTTTTCCAGACTGGCTCTTCTGAGAAAGGCTTTTCTGAGCTCTCCTACCAAACAGCAGCAGTGGGTACTTGGGAAGGGTTTGTCTGGTTCTGGCCTTGGGGATTTGAATTTATTCAAATACAGTTTCTCTTCGGACACTTCACACACACACACACACACACACACACACACACACACACACAGAGAGAGAGAGAGAGAGAGAGAGAGAGAGAGAGAGAGAGAGAGAGAGAGAGAAATGAGAAGGCCAGTGAGATTGATCACCTGTATAGGATGGATAGCTCTGGAGCTGGGAATGACTGGGAACTATCCTGTCTCATGAGAAAAAAAATGAATATCTCTAGTTGGTGATTTTACTTTGCAGACAAAGAAAAGCCAGAGGAGGAGCCAGCCTTTAGCACAGAATCA